TCATACACAAGATACACCCTTCGAAACTGTTTAACCTTTAGCCTGCTGAATTAATTTCAGCATAAGGCGTTGTAAAGAGGGTGGGTGATTTCAAACAGTCGGTGTGTCATTAAATAAGAGACAACTGAAAAAATATTTGGCACATTAATACTAGATAGAAAAATGAATATTATTTTCTAAAAACATCCTGATAATTTCAAACATACAGAGGTTAATGACAAGGCAAGCATAAAAAATGTAAATTTCCTGAATTTACCACAATTACTTGATAGACAGTGGAATGCGATTTATATAAGGACCCTGAATAAATCGTTAAATTTACGCAAAACCGATTTCAATATTCTTATTTCGATATCTCATAATTATCTGACTTTAAATTCGTAACTGTTTAATGTCTTTGTAGGGAGAGGTGTTGGCTCTGCCTGATCACAACCCCATTCATTTGGGGAAAGACATTTTGTTTAAATTGCACCAGATCATTTTTTGGAGGTCTGAATATGAACAATATTCTGGGCAGATGGGTGACTCAAATACTGTTGAAACACGCCTTTGTGAGGTCCATTCATCTTCAACACGATTATGACAAAATATGTCTCACAGACAGTAATAAGCTCTCCAAATCTGTCACTGATTTCTGCAAATACAAGTCGGCATCAGCATGGCAGGTTCCTGCCTTGCCCACCAGGGGTCACCACTAGTCCCACAGTACCATTGTTCCTTGGGTCCAAATCTCACTGTTTGGTTATAATTATTTTCTTGCCATTAATTATGCATGAGATGATTAGATTCTTCCTTGGGCTTTCCTTGATTCAGTCATGCGGGAAGCGGATAGATATTCTGGACTGATGGACTGACGATATGGCCATATTTAATTTAATCTTGGTTGGGGACGAGGGTCGTGTCCCTTGATTTCACACAAACCATAACAGCGACAAAGTGGGGCTCACTACAGCTGTTTGGGTCAGCTGGCACAATACTGGGTGGACGCTCAACTAATACTAGAGCCGTTTCAGAAATTTGTAATTATCTTCAAAATGAAAGTCAATTTGGATGGTGCATATGACCCATTGATGGGAAATACTTGATTCATGGAGTGTGGACATCCCTTTGTATTGAGATAAATTGAGGAGAAACAACGAAATTATCCAAACATCTTGATCACATTTTTATAATATCCAATACCATTAATCATACTTTACATTTTTCATATGAACGATATTATCAGAAAAAAATCAGTCAGTCAAAAGCCACAACAAATCACTAAGGAGAAAAATATCGCCACATTTATGATGACGAAAAATTAGCCTGAATCGGAAAATGAGATTCAATTCCTTTCAACAGAGAGAAAGTTGACCGCCAGCCCATTGTTTAACAGAATACATTTGTTAGCAAGACTAATGACGGTCTTTAAGTTGCATAAGAAATATGATGAAGTGAAATTTATAATGATGTTATGGTCTTATACATTATTTTACCAACGTCCAGACATATTTGTCATTTGTAGGTAATTTATAGTCAGAGACATTGTTTCAACACTAATGACTCCAACGACAGGTGAGAGTCATAAATAATTTGACAGGTCCCCGAGACCCAGTGCAAAAATCAATGTTGGTAGATAAGGAAACGAGACTTTTCGACCATCATTAGTTGTGTACATCCTTCGCGATTGATGAATCAGCTTCTAACGAATCTCCAGGAGCGTCACTTACAGAGTGGCTCCAACAAAATCTATCGACAACTTCTCTCTCAGCTTGACATACGTACCACGTACCGTACTCCACGTAAAGAAATTTGTGGGGGCAATGTGCACGTCTCATCACCTTATATCCCTCGCTTCCACCTTGTGGATATTTCTAAATTCAAGGATTTTTTCCAACATTTATCCTAACTGGATTACATAAACATCTTTCTCACTACATGTAATAATTTAATTATTTAAGTAACTCAAACTCATTTTATTTGAAAATGCAAAGATTTATGGAGAATTAGGATTCCAAATAAAAGGCTCTGACTGCTTCCGCTGTCTCTGTAGGCATTTCTGTCCCCAGTCTCTTTAACAATCTGTTAGTTTAAGTGTCATTGTCACCATGTACAAAGCTTCTTCATTTGCACCCAACAGGCGAAGATAAAAGAAAATTAGGAAAAAAACTGTCACCTTTAGCTTCTGGGCTTCTTTTTTTGTCAAACTTACAAATAGTGATTGTTGAGGCCCTGGCTTAGAGCTCGGTAATGAACCAAATTTGAGAAATTGGCAGAAATTGTGAGTAATACTGAAAAGACAAAAAATGTCCATGGCATGATATCCTAGTACTGGGTTCCTTTATGACTTTGTGAGGAAATTAGGTTGAAATGCTGGGATAATCCGGGCCCTGTGATCAGTGAAATTACAACAAATATTCCAAACAATCTGTCAATTTGCAAGTTCACACCACCTAATGGTTTTTGTCCACTCTAAGCAACGAACCTCTGTCCTTAATCTCGATGATTCGCAAATGACACTACCACAAAGCTGGAAAACTGCACCGTGTCCTGTGGATTAGCTATCCTGGACAGAGACGGTCTTTGTAGCTGGGGAAGCTCGCCTTGACAGGGACCAACTGTGACAAGTTCGCTGCAGGCCATTTGACGACCAGCAGACAGATCAAGGCCTTGCATCACAAACCGATAGAGATTTTTTTGCACTAATTCAGAAAACAAATGACTCATGTCATTTAATTCAATCATAATGAAATTTGTACAAAGACAATATGTTCCCTAGTTGTGGCAGTGGAGAAATGGCTACGCCAAACCTCGCGATATTGTCGTAATTTCCCTGTCGTGCCGTCATGATCAAAGGTTCAGACTCGTGACCATGGGAATCAATGAAAATGTTGTCAGTGAAAATTATAACACGTTAACCGAGCACGGCACAGTTTGACATCCGTGTCGTAGGAAGGTGTGCTGACTGATGACAGTATCAGACAGAAAGCAGAGGTCATATGGCAGTCGACTTGGATCCGATTCATATGGTGTCTATTCATTCCTGCACTCAATGGCCTACTTTCAGTCCGCTATACATCACAACCATAGACTTGTCACAAAGATGAAAAAAATCAAGAAAGGTCTAATGGTAAAAATGCCATATTTCCAAAAGGCACTCATTTCTGACAGACTGTCAAAAACACTCACTGTGGGTACAAGGATTTCTTAGATCTTGTACTGGTAAAACAACAAAACAAAGCTGAAAACAAAATATTCCATGAAAGTTTAACTCAGGTCAATTGTACTTAGAACAATCAAGTTCATTAACGATTTTTAAGTTATCAGTATGTATGTATGTATGTATGTATGTATGTATGTATGTATGTATGTATGTATGTATGTATGTATGTATGTATGTATGTATGTATGTATGTATGTATGTATGTATGTATGTATGTATGTATGTATGTATGTATGTATGTATGTACGCATGCAGTGTTGCGAGGCAGCTGCTAAAATATAATTAATAAAAATGGTCAGCCAGCCAATGAAGCCTGACAAACTGAAATGAGTTATACAAATCCTCTTCATCATTTTTTTTTTAATCATCTGCTATTATCATCATCATCGTTATCATCATTCATCATTATTGAAGACCCCGATTTGTTTTGTACACGATCATCAAAATCTGAGGTTCAATGTTTGTGTGTGAAGATCTGTTCTGCTGAAACACAAAACGTTCAATTCCATAGGGCGCCTTGCACATAAACCTTGTATTAGGCTAGTAGCAAGAGGTGTACCACCGATTGATTGAGTTAAGTGTGCTGAGCTGTGCCTATTCAAGTTTTTTGTGCCGTATGTGATTAAGTGGAGCTGAGGGCTCTCCACGATCAACCAGGACCCTTTAATTAGAACTCAAATTTTGTAGAAAAATTTACTAAACTTTATTTGCCTGAATCGACAGAACTACTTGGTCAAATTCAATATTTGCGTACTATCCTGCTGCCACGGAGAGTTTGCGAAACTCAAAGGCGAGCAAAAAACTTTAGTTAACATTGTTATTTCAGATTATTTTCACAGCTGCAAGTTCCAGGGTTTTCTGAAATGATCCAATCGAATATCGAGGATCCAACGTTAAAATTGAGTTGTGTTGATCCAAACCAGTTTACCATAATGGGCCCACTATACATACACGCTAGATGTACACCGAGGTGTCACCTGCAAAGTGACCCGCCACAAATTGTCATTGACTTTTTGCACATCTGACCACACGAACAATACATCTAATCGCCCATTCAGTACCGTGGACTAGGTGCGTACCCAAAGTGCCCTTTCAGCAGCGCAGATTCGGCGTATATCAAAGAGTGCCGGTATAGTGGCATGCACACAGCCTATACCAAAAAGCGCCTATGGGAACTAATTGACACTTTACTGTTGTTGAGTCTTGGAAGAGCCATCGCACAGTGATCCAATACCCGTAATGACAGCCGATCGCTCGCGTCTCAGACAATTAGGGATTTTTGTCTGGGCCTATCCAATTTGACAACTCCCAAATAAGATCAAACGAACAAACTAACGATAAATATGAGAAAATAGGACAAAAATACCTTTATACAATTCAAGCATCAAATTATCATCTTATTCAATAAGGAAGATTATCTGAGGTGTCTTGTTGGAGAATATTTGGCTCTCCAAACTCATAAGATATTTTCCTAAATGTATTCTGAATACGGGGTTCATATCTGATACAACTTCACACAAGTATCCTTGCATCAATGTCAAACGCTGATTTAAAAAAAGATCACTCTCATTAAATTGAATTCTTGGTTCAAGCTCAGTTAAATTTGATAGCACCTACTTCACAACACCGGATAAAGATAAACTTTCAAAGAGAAACAATTTCAAAATCAATTATTTTTTTCCCTTCCCCTACTCCTGAATTCTTCGGTTTACATTTTCCGTTAGCAATTGAACGTTTTTCCCAATTCTACCCAACAAATCTGAATGATGTCACTAATGATGTTTTTGTTTGTTTTCAGTGGATACATATCATGGCTTTCTATATATGCAAGAGGGAAACTACATATCAAGACTAATATTTGATCTTAATGACAATTTAGCTGGGATTCAAACAGCGGTAAGTAGAATTCTGTTGACATTTGAAAAACCATGTTTAGCCAGTAATTTACATGACAATTTCTCATGCCGAGAGAAATCCATGGTGCATACACGAAAAACGGAATCCAGGTTTGCCATAAATGTTTTGTGAGAAGTAATCAGTTTGTGTGGCAGTCATTTGAATTATTTAGCATCCAAACTTAAGTGATTTAGCTGAACCTTCTCTAACAAGTCTTATGTTTTATTGCTCAGTTTCCTTTGCATGTTGTGCGTCCCTGTTTTCATGGTTGTCAATGAATTGTTTACAAGACATCCGGATATGGCCGACCCACGAACGATCAGTAACTTACTTGTGGTTCAGTGAAACATGACAGATGTATGTCTTTGATTATTTTATCGTAATTATATTCTACTTAAAGATTTTCACAACAGCTGATTTTTTCCATATTATGGTTTGTCTAGCATGTCATGACACACTCACAACATGATTTTTTTTCATATTATTAGAGTTAATCTGTCATATCTGTTAAGTATTAAACAAAGACTCCAGTTGTATTTGTCCAAACTGGTCACACCATATAACCAGTATTGCTTTCGTGGACCAATTTTTAACCTGAGGTGAGTGAGAGAGAGAGAGAGAGGAGAGAGGAGTGGGGGTGAGTGAGTGAGTGAGAGAGAGAGAGGAGTGGAGTGAGTGCGTGCTTTCGTGGACCAATTTTAAACCTGAGTGAGTGAGTGAGAGAGTGAAAAAGAGAGGAGTTGGATGAGTGAGTGAGTGAGTGAGTGAGAGAGAGAGAGGAGTGAGTGAGTAAGAGAGTGAGAGAAAGGAGTGGGGGGAGTGAGTGAGAGAGTGAGAGGAGTGAGTGAGTGCGTGCGTGCGTGAGTGAGTGAGTGAGTGAGTGAGTGCGTGAGTGAGTGAGAGGAGTGAGTGAGTGAGGAGTGAGTGAGTGAGTGAGTGAGTGAGGCCTAACACCACTATTTATTGCAAGTTATATTTGGGTATGTCATTATGCTGCTTTCTTGTCAAATGGGTTCGACACACCATTGAGAGGAATAATGCAGTGACTCTAAACATGGGATGAAAACCCGAAGTCATGCAGGTCGTAGACATTTACCACTTTGGTACAAAAACAAAACAAAAACCACAAGTATGGCGCTGACAAACCTACAAATATAATCAGGGCGAGCCAGGATTAATTCTAACCCGGAATCGCCAGGGGGCCCTACGTTTGTTATACCGACTTGCACAGCGGTGCATTATGTCGGCCATATTAGAAAGCATAATGTACACAATTTCATTTGAAACCTCTCTTTTCTGACGTATCCCTCCTGCAGGCAATATTTTTCTTACTTAATAACCAAACTTCCTGCTTTCATAAGCACACTCAGCACCAGTCTCCAGGGAGACGCTCCTGCTGTGATGTATACAAGTAAATCTACTGTTAAATTACATCAATTTCGTATTCCACCCTGCTTCTAAGTTCTTATTGGTTTACGAAATAGGAAAGAGAATTAATTTCTTCAATGACCTTTAACATATGATTCAAGATAAAATTGCCATAGTCGCATGTAAATCTTGATCCAACATGTCTGATAACATCATTTACTACTGTATGCCTTCATAAGTAATGGGTAGTTTTCATAACTACTGCCTTCGCTTCTGCGGACCCTTTGGAGTCCGTTAATCGGGGGGAGAGCCATACTTCATCCTGAGTATAACAAACTAAATGCCACGGAAACTGTAATCAAGATTACACAATGTAGCCAATATATGCAATTTGGGAGTGTTGAAAGAAAATACGGTATGGCCTAAGCAGTATAGAATTTCGATCTTGGGTATATCAAAGGCATTTTACAATGAACACTGATTTAATTGAACTGACAGTAGCCAGTGCTGAGCATCTTTTTAATTTTCTGCGATAATACATAGCGCAGGGCCTTGGTATTGGTGGCAGACAAATTACACAAAGAGTTGGATAGCATTCAGTTTAACCAGAAAATGAATAAGAGAGACTCGTGCAGTTGTGTGATCATGTCCTTTTCAGTGAATACTTCAAGAATACTTCAAGAATACTTTACATTGCATAGCATCTTAACATCTTAATAACTCTGTATATTAGTTAGATCTTAAAAATGGTCCTGGGTCTTTGATGTGTCGGGCTATAGCAGTTTAATCTAGGAACTTCCTTGAAGTTTGTAGATTCACACATTAGGATAATTATAAGAATGACTTGACTGTCATCTTTAATTTCGCTCATGGATAGAGGTATGTCAACTTGAATTTATAAAATTAAGTTCCAATGCAGTTGTAGGACAGTGGAGGGGTAGGACTTGCCCATCTTTATCATCAGATGAAGATTGATTCATAAACATAAGATATTTTCGGAATTGTACAATGAAATATGCTTTAAATGAAAATGTCTTATGTTTGTGATGGGCGCCAACAGTAGGGCAAGATATATTCACATGTATATGAACACCAGGTGTTTTAACTGTTCGAAACAGATTCATAAACATTCATGATGTTCACGATGTTCATAAACACATTTAGCCTGTCTGAGGGTCGGTGATCAAGCAATCGTAAACTCATGTTTACGCATTGGGCTCTCATAGCTTTGATCTGCTCCGTGGCCTAAAGTTCAGGCCTTTTTTTTGGTGACTGACTGACTGAGTTTGGTTTTACGCCGCTTTTAGCAATATTCCAGCAACATCACGGCGGGGGACACCAGAAATGGGCTTCACACATTGTACCCATTTCGGGATTCGAACCCAGGTCTTCGGCGTGACGAGCCAACGCTTTAATCATGAGGCTACCCCACCGCCCCTTTTCTTTTTGTGAACATGGAAAGGATTTTATTGTTTACATTATCATTATCTATATAATTATTGTGGTTTTGTTTTGTTAATATGTTTATGTATTTAATCACACTTTATTATTTATCACTATTCGATCTGATTGTTATTTCTGCAGAAATGTTTTTAGATAAACGTTTGGTCAACCACTTTCATCAGACAAATGCATGAATACATAGGTCATGATCGTACTTGAACACACAACTGACATGGAGCATGTTAGCAATTCAGATCTATTAGGTTATCTCCCTTTATCATATGCTTGAGCAGACGATTTGAATAAGCAGGTGAATAATGTTTAGTGATGAAAATAAGCGACCACCAAGCATGTACCACCCATTACATCGTGAAAGACAACTCCATTGCCAGAATACAATGCTTGTACAGATGACTTGCGATTCAATTTAAAGAAACAGAAACATTCCTATTATTTGTTCTCCCATATTCATAAAATAGGGCTCGTTTGACAACCAATCGAAGCACATCAAAGAAACATCAAACAATGCACCACGTGCAGGAACAATGACAAAACACTTTACAGTCATCAATCCATTCTCCCATGGCGCCAGGACGTAGTCTTACCTGGAAGTTCCAGGAGGTGAGAGGTCACTGGGAAGTTTTACAAAACAAAAAGAGGGAATTGATCGCCATAATTCAAAGTAGACAGACCCCTATCAGTCGACTTTTTGAGAAAGATCTTTTTTCGGAATCCGATTACAAGACCAATTGCCCTTACTGCGAGTCCAAGTGTCAACAGATCCCCTTCTTTCGACTGTGTTTACATTACGGAGCCGAATCAATATCGCACGTTAAATTGTTTTCTTTTAGCAACGAGATAGCGGTGAATCAATGGAACTGTCAACATGGTCTCGCTCCTCGCTGTTGTTCTTATGACAGGACCTCCATGTGCATCAACCTTTTATCTTTTGTCATTCTTCTTTTGCAATGGGTGGTGCTCTCTGTATTACGCATAATCCTTTTGTCTTGGTAATGATATGCAAATTTATGCATGACATATTCTTTCACAAGTCATTTACTGGTGGATTAACTGTTGGTTTTAAAGCCTTGGAATTAAGGGATAGTCTGTGTCGGTGACAAATATGTGCATCGAGCTTGGTACATGGAATCTCCCTCAAATTGAGGGGACATTGATTTTTTGGGTGATACATCTAAATGTATTACTGGTTTCAACAATAAACAAGCAATTCTTGGTTTCCAGACAACTGAGTTTCAACTGGGTCATGCATACAGATGACATTATCTAATCGCATTATTCGGTCAATGCTTTTTTGTGCAATTTTAGTACATCGATTGTGTGGTCAATACGTGAAAGTACTTAATGTTCAGTAATAACTATTGATCAATTATGATAATGACGACAATATTAATATGTCATCACTCAATAATCTGTGTGCATTCAAACTGCATTCCAAATTCCACTGGGAGGCTAGATTCTGTGCCATTTGAGCGTGAACAAGTTGGTAATCAACAGAGTTTCATTTTGTATTACCATCCAGTTCTGGAAAATACTGATATTAAGGTGTTTCTCTCACTATCTAAAAGTGAAGACTTAGTTTCTGAAGATTAAATATTCCATAATTTCATTCCAGGTAGGGAGTGATCATTTATTACTGGGTGCTGGGTCAGAGGTTAATGACACAATAATGTACTGAAAATAATGACACACCCCCAAGTGTGAGTTATATTTTGGTATGACCCACCCCATGTCCTTGTGGGGGCGGTGGGGTAGCCTATTGGTTAAAGCGTTCGCTTGTCACGCCGAAGGTCCCGGGTTCGATTCCCCTGGGTACAATGTGTACTGTAAAGCTCATTTCTGGTGTCCCCCGCCATGATATTGCTGAAATATCGCTAAAAGCGGCGTAAAACACAACACATCCACTCACCCAGGTCATTATATACACTTTATATTACATATACATGACCTTCCCCAAATATGTGCAATATTTTTTATAACTGTCAAATTGTTTGGTCACAATCTTGTGATTCCCTCTGACAAACGCACCCCCATAAAATTAATGACTGGTCCCTTAGCTTCCTTACTCATTCATAGAACACAATATTTCCAATTTTGATGACCCAAAAGAACACACACAAAAATTCTTAGCACCACATCTTCGACAAAAGATATTTTGGACATTAGCAAAT